TATTGGTATATTTTCTAAGCACCAATCACTATTCCATGCAATTTTTGTTTACCTCATCAATTTTTTCTTTCCTACAACATTGTGAGGTAGATACCATTACCCCATTTTACAGTTGTGGAAACTGAGGCATAGGAATAATAAGTACCTTGAGTATGGTGACAGAGTAAGTTCTTGGCAGAATAAAATTGTCAATCTACAATCTGGCTCAAGTGCCATCAGTTTAACCACAGGGCTACACTGGCTGTCTGAACCCAGGGAACAAATAAAAGGAATCCTACCAACTCTGGAAGTAAAGAAAATCTCTCTGGCAGTTAATGTATACGACTGACAATAAATGCATCTTATGAATAAATATGAGAGTTACCCTCAAGAGAGTGTTTTTCAAGCCAACCATACTTTAAAGGATTGACTGAGTGTTAAAATATCTCTAAAATATAGCAGAAAAATGTGAAAGGGAAGAAGACTGGTTAACTATGAAAGCATCCAAAAACTAAATTTGATGTGGAAGAAGAGCAGACACCCCAAGCTGAATGGTAACACTGCTGATTCTCGGTGATATGCTTCTCTCCCTATTATGGAGGTACATGCCTCAGACCTTAGGTAAGACACTTCAGAATGACATCCTGTATTTCTATTGTGCAGAGACCATGTACATGAGGCAACTTTCTCATTGAAATTTGTCTTCAGTGTGGTTTGCTTTTATGGAGAGAAAATGCTGGGCAGGGGATGTAAGCATATACCTCAATTAATTTTTTACCATTCTGGTTTAGATATTTAAAGGTTTCAAAAATTAAGTTGCTTATAATCTCCATTCTCCAAAACGATCTATTTAGTAAAATCACCAAATGTAATTTCTTTCATTGTGGAAAGAAATTCTCTGGAAAACACCTGTTTTTACAGGAGTGCTATACTAGCTTCAACTGCTCGTTCTTTGGTTTACAGGAAATTCATACAATGTGACGATTTGAATGAACAATCATAATCATACTCATAATCATGTGCATCGAGCATTTACTATAAGCCAGACACCATCTTCAGAGATTTACATTCTATTTATTATTAACTACTTGAATCCCTGTTATATAAGACCTATTATTAGTCTCATTCTACAGAGGAGTGAATTGTGGCAGGTAAAGTTTAGTATCTTATCTAAGATCACAGAACGAGACTTGAACTTAAGTCTATGTTGAAATCCCATGTGTGCTCTCTAACACTTGGCTATGCTATTTCCCGGGGTAGTATTCTTTTAGAATACAGATACTTTAGAATCCAAACCCAAACTGTAGCCAACATATTTATTCTCTTTTGTTGTTAATCTTAATTTTTGTCATAGCTATACATTTTGTCATCGATGTTACATTTGTTCTCTACAACTAGATGTGTAAATGGAAGAAAATAGTATCTCCTTCACTCTGTGAATTGAGACAATCAATTATACTTTCCTACCTAGAAGTCCTTCATAGTCAGCTCAAGACTTCATTCAATATTGAAAGTTCAGTGGTGATCTTCTTCCATTCTATTTATTTCTCTGCACAAGTTGTGCTGAATGATGGATTGTTTTTCTTTTCTTTTCCTGTGATTTAGTTTGTAGAGAAGAATAAAATGGTTAAAGTTTCCAGGCTCAAAGTAGAATTTACCAGAAATGAAGATATGTATAATAATTTCCAAATTGTATTTACGGATACCATTTTATTCTATTGATTGGAAACTGTACTCAGCAAAGGGGAGCATACAAGGGAGATAAGAGAGAATGAGAAATTGAAACAAAGCACTGATGGAAGTTTCCTAACAGCAAAAATTGAGAAGGCTGTGATATCCCAGGGGAAGTGGGTATGGACCTGATGCTTCAAACAGTGAGAGCCATGATGGAATCAATGGCAGTGAATCCCGTAATTACTAAATTAGACTGTTCCATTTCTGGATAATGCATGCTGCATTTTGAACTCGATTTAAAATCCAATTAGTTCAGGATCATCATTCCGGTTAGTTCTAGCTTCTCTCTGGTGGCTTTGAGAATAGAGCAATAGCTTAGTATTTTTGAGTTTGTTCTTTTAAGTCTTTGAAGAGATGGCTTTTTAAATCTATGGCAACAGGTGCCTTCTCCTCCCACTCTTACATATTTTACTGATTACACTCTTAGTTCCCATCCTCAAAGTCTCTCAGTTGTAGTAACCAATGAAGAGCTACAATGATACATTGCCTTTTCCAGTAAATAATGATGACCAACCATGAAACATTTGTCTCTGAAATTACCTCTTCCTTTTCTTAGTTTGTCTTTATGAATTGGTATTTTTCTTTATTTTCTTAATCCCCTTTGATGAAATTATTACAGATTTTAGATCTGTCAACTGTGAGAGATAAAGACTTTTAGAGTAGTGTTGGATTCTTTGATTTCTGGTAAGAGTGAGAAGGGAACTTCAACCAGTCCCTTAAGTTTGTCCACATGACTGTATCAGTGACTAATTAACTGACAGTTTTATTTTTCTTACTGAGCACATGAAGACAGATCTCTTGAATTGTGGAATGATATGTTATAAAAGTATGATTTTTATAGTGAAACATGAAGAATTATAGTCCACTGTAATTCTATGCCGTAAGAAAGAAAACAGGCTTATTACTGAAGAATGTGAAACATTGACTGAGGGCTACTTGTTAATTCACACTGGAGAACCATATAGATCATATTATTTTGAAACTATAATGTAAACAAACCAATGCCATAAAGGAATTCAAGGGCCCTCCATCAAAATAATATTTTGTTCATTTACTTTGATAAGTGTAGTTCATACACTCAAGTGTTACTTGTGATCATACTGCATTTGAATTAACATAGTGCCTTTCATCAAAATAATGAGATCTTAGAGACATAACTATAGAAAGTTCATCACATTTTTCTGATCAGATACATTTAAGGGTACAATAATGTCACCCCATTTCCAAGTGTCTCTTTCTCTTCTCTCTTATTTTTGCTTTCTCTTTCACACAGCATTAAAATTAAATTTAACAATTTTACTGCCTTTTTAGAAACTCAGAGATTATTAAAACTCATTGCATGGTTGAGTTTTTAGTTTTCCTATTCAAAAACAATTTTTTTACCTGTGGTTTTTATAAAAGATATTATATTGTGAGTGATTGTTGAACAAAATTAAATATATTAAAATTATGGGCAGTGGGAGTGTGCGGGTGGGGTGGGGTGGCAGAACAAGATGGCCGAATAGAAACCTCCAGTGATCATCTCTCTGCATAAATACCAAATTCAATCCCTATTCATGTAAGCAAACACTTTCTCAGGTGAGTGATTATATTATCCGGTTTTACCATTAAATCCAGGGAAGAGGCGCTGAAGAGGAGCTGAACAGGGCAGAAAAGACAATCTCGTACACCTAAGCCAGCTCTCCCCTCTCCCTAATATTGAGGGAGAGAGAATCTGTATGTCTGGGGAAGTGAGAATGAAGTGATGGTAGAACTTTGCATTGAAACTTGGGCTGCTCTGGCACAGGGGAAGACAGTACAGGGCAGAACTCTGCTGGCACCAACTGAGGGAGCATTTAGAACAGTCTGGCCATAGGGAAATCCTCTGCCTTGATACCCACTGCTGGCTAACAAAATGCAGCCTGTGGCCTGTGCGAATTCTTCAGGCAGTTGGGCCAAAAAGGCTGCACTCCTCGGACAATTTCTGCACCTCTGCTTGGTCAGATTCATTGGATTTGGGGTACACATGACCCAGTGAGAAACCAGTGATGGTGGCTAAGCCAGTACCCGTGTTAACCCCTCAACTACAGGCAATGTGATCTGAAGCCCTTGACTTCAGGCCTTGGATCCCACAAGGCACCTTTGGACTCATCCTGGGTCGGAAGGAAACTTGCTGCCTTGAGGGGCAGGACCCAGTACTGGCAGGATTCACAACCTGCTGACTAAAGCACTCTTGGACTTTGAATAAACATCATAGGTACCCAGGTAACAGTCACTATGGGCTTTGGGTGAGATTGGTGTTTATGGGCATGAGGGGAGTGCCCATATCACTCCTCTCCCAACTCTAGCAGCCCAGTACAGAGAGTGAGAGACTTTGCCTGGTAATCCAGTGAATTGTCCCACATCTTAACAAAGAGGTACCACTAGGGATTTTCAAGAGTCACAGCATTACTGGGTTTAGAGCACTATTACAAAAGGCTTAGATCATAACACCCAATTCCCTTTGAATATCTGCAAAGCCTTCTCAAGAAGGATGGAACCAAACAAATCCAGACTGCAAAGATTAAAGTGAATACTTAACTCTTCAATGCCCAGACATGGACAAACATCCACATGCTTCAAGAATACACAGCAAAACATGACCTCACCAAATGAATTAAAAAAGGTACCAGAGACCAATCCTGGAGTAATGAAGATATGTGACCTTTCAGATTTAGAAATCAAAATAGCTGTCCTAAAGAAGCTCAGTAAATTCAAGACAACACAAAGAAGGAATTTAGAACCTGTCTCAAGAATGGAAAAACAAACACTACAGATACTTTCTAATAATTTGGAACTATTTGATGGGTACACATGGGCACAGAAGAAAGTAAAAATCATTAGAAATCAATAAGGGCTCCTCCCGACAAGTTTGCACAAAGAATGCATATGATGACATTTTGCCTCTCGGCTTCTTAGTATCTCCTTTGCCCATGTTTAGTTATTTTTCCTCAGCAAGGCACAGAGTCACCCAGTGCCTGTCTGGCTCTCACTTGACCCGGTGCTATCATCATATATATTCTTTGTGCAAACTTGTCAGGAGGTGCACAAGAAGAAGCACCCAGATGCTTCAATTAACTTCTCAGAGGTTTCTAAGAAGTGCTCAGAGAGGTGGAAGACCATGTCTGCTAAAGAGAAAGGAAAATTTGAAGATATGGCAAAGGTGGACAAGGCCCATTATGAAAGAGAAATGAAAACCTGTATCTCTCCTAAAGGGGAAACAAAAAAGAAGTTCAGGGATCCCAATGCACCCAGAGGCCTCCTTCGGCCTTTTTCTTGTTCTGTTCTGAGTATCGCCCCCAAATCAAAGGAGAACATCCTGGCCTATCCATTGGTGATGTTGCAAAGAAGCTGGGAGAGATGTAGAATGACACTGCTGCAGATGACAAGCAGCCTTATGAAAAGAAGGCTGCAAAGCTGAAGGAAAAATACGCTGCATACTGAGCTAAAGGAAAGTCTGATACAGTGAAAAAGGGAGTCGTCAAGGCTGAGAAAAACAAGAAAAAGAAGGAAGATGAGGAAGAGGAGGGAGATGAAGAGGAGGAGGAAGATGATGATGAAGAAGATGATGGTGAATAAGTTGGTTCTAGCACAGTTTTTTTTCTTGTCTATAAAGCATTTAACCCCCCTGTACATAATTCACTCCTTTTAAAGAAAAAAAATTGAAATGTAAGGCTGTGTAAGACTTGTTTTTAAACTGTACAGTGTCTTTTTTTGTATAGTTAACACACTACCGAATATGTCTTTAGAGAGCCCTGTCCTGGTGGTACTTTCAATAGCCACTAACCTTGCCTGGTATAGTATGGGGGTTGTAAATTGGCATGGAAATTTAAAGCAGGTTCTTGTTGGTGCACAGCCCACATTCGTTATATATGGGGATGGTAGTTTGTTCATCTTCAGTTGTCTCTGATGCTGATTATACAAAATAATTGTTGTTCTGTTAACTGAATACCACTCTGTAATTGCAAAAAAAAGTTGCAGCTTTTTTGTTGACATTCTGAATGCTTCTAAGTAAATACAATTTTTTTTTTATTAAAAAAAAGAAATCCATAAGGGGTGGGGGAAAGAGAAGAAGGGTAAAAACCTACCTAGCAGGTACAAGTGAATGCCATTTGAGTGATGGGCACATTTATAGCCCTGACTAAAGCATAATAAAAGTTATCCATGTGACAAAAACATTTGCACTCCGTTAATATTTTGAAATTAAAAATGAAAGGAAAGAAAAAAATGTGCGGATATGAATTGACATTTTTCAAAAGAAGACATACAAATAACCAACAGATATGTAACAAAATGTTCAACATCATTAGTCATCAGAGAAATGCAAATCAAAACTATTCAAGATATCCTCTTACCACAGTTAAAATGGCTTTATTCAAAAGACAGGTAATATGGATTGCTGGTGAGGATGAAGAGAAAGGAGAACCCATATATGCTGTTGGTGGGAATGTAAATTAGTACAATCACTATGGAGAACAGGATGGAGATTCTTCTAAAAACTAAACTGGAACTACCATAAGCCCCAGCAATCTCACTGCTTGGTATATACCTAAAGAAAGGGAAATCAGTATATAAAAAAGATATCTGTACTCTCTTGCTTAATTCAGCACTATTCACAGTAGCCAAGAATCAACCTAAGTTTCCAACAACAACAGATGAAAGGATAAAGAAACTGTGGCACATATACATAATGGAACATTATAAAACCACAAAAAGAATGAAATGGTGCCACTTGCAATAGCATAGTTGGAACTGGAGAAGATTATGTTAAACAAAATAAGCCAAGCACAGGAAGACAAATCTCTCATGTTCTCATTCACATTGGACCTAAATATGAAAAACAAATAATCTCATGAAGATAGTAAGATGATGGCTACCTGGTGGTGGGAAGGTAGTGGGGAGGAGGAAAGAAAGTGGAAATGGTTAATGGATGCAAGAATGTAATCAGATAGTTAGACAGAATGAAGAATATTTGATAACACAACAAAGTGACTATAATTAATAGTATGTTAGAATATGTTTTAAAATAATTAAAAGAGTTATTTGATTCTCTACAGAGAATTCACATGTACTTATTTGATTCTCTACAGAGAATTCAAATTAATCAACAATAAAAGAGCAAAAAAATCCCATCTGTCGCTGGGCAAGAGATATGATTAGAACCTTTTCTGAAGAAGTCAGATGAATGGCCCAAAAACATGTGAAAAAAAATGTTCATTGTCCCTCATCATCAGACAAGTGCAAATCAAAATTACCCTGAGATATTACCTAATCCCAGTGGGAACAGCTTCCAACAGATTGGGGATCACAAAGTCCCAAATCTGCAGATGGTGGCATGGATGTGGAGAGAAGGGACCACTTGGTAAAATTGGGAACTAAAATAGCCTCTTTGGAAAGAATTATGTAGAATCCTCAACGAACTCCAAATAGACCCCCCATTTGATCCTGTAATTCCATTACTAGCTAGATATCTACCCAGAAGAAAAAGATAATTTTATCATAGGACATTTGCCCTAGATTGTTTATTGCCACTTAATTTACATTTGCCAGGATGTGGAATCAACCCAAGTGCCCATTAAACCATGAATGGATTAATAAATTGTGGTGGATATAAATGATGAAATACTATTTACCCATAAAAATGGAGACTTTAGGCTCAGCACCTGTGGCTCAAGTGGCTAAGGCACCAACCATGTACACCCAATATGAAGCCAGTAGATGAACTAATACACACTCACACAAGGAAAAAACTCAATTTAATTCAAGCTGGGGGAGGAGGAAAGGGAGAGGTCAAGAGAGAGGGGGATTAGTGTGCTCTCTTCTAATGGGCACAATATAAGGGTATATGGCACAACTCCTGGGTGAGGGGCACAACTACAACAAAGACCTGGTCCTTACCTAACAAATGCGAACATTGTAACCTAATCGTTTGTACCTTTATATTAATCTGAAATTTAAAAAAACCCAAAGAGTTAGTTGAATGTTTCTAACACAATGAAACAATAAATATCTGAACTGATGGATGCCCTAATTACCTGATTTGGTTAATTCACATTGCATGCCTGTGTCAAAACATCACATATGACTGATAAGGATATAGAACAATTATGTACCTATAATAATGATGTACTTATTAAATTATGAGCCTTATAAATTATATAGTCCAATGTTATGAATCAGCCAAAAAATGGGAATATTAGCATATTTATATTAAGGAATGCAGAGATATAAAGGTTAATAATTTTTAAAATTTGATTTTTATTAAGCTTACATTCCATAAAATTGGTTAATTTTGTTTTTAGGTTTGGGTTTAACTTTTTTTCTTTTTTTGGAAAAGAAAGAGATGGTTCTCTTATAGGGGATGAGAAAAGTGATTTCTCCCCTGCAGAGGTAGAGATGTGACTTTTTGAAGTTCCTGTGTGGGCCTCCAAATGATAGCTTTGGCAAATGCTCAGTTTCTTAGTAGGTGCTGATCACAGGATAAGAAAAGAGTTTCTCTAGGCCAATTTTAGAATATAAAAGTATAAGTTCATTTTATATTAGAGAACAGAAAGAGAGTGGGGAGAAGAGATGAGAAAGAGAGAGAGCAGAGAACAGAGAGTAGGGAGTGAGAGAAGAGAAGGGTAGGGAAAGAGGAGAGAAAAGGAGCTAGAGAATAGTGTGGCATTCCAAAGAAAGAAAGGAAGAATGCCAGGGGGGTTTAAATTTTTTAAATTTATAATAATAATTATTATTGTTATTATTTGTAGAGATGGTTATGTCACTGTGTTGCTCAGGCTAGTCTTGAACTCCTGGCCTTAAATGATCCTCTCATCTATAAGTATGAGCCACTGTCTCCAGGAAGATCTTAACATTTAAGTCTTCAATCTACTCTGAGTTACTTTTTGTATATGGTTTGAGATGTGGATCTAATTTCATTCTTCTGCATGTGGACATGCATTTATTGAAGAGACTATCCTTTCTTCATTGTGTATTCTTGGCATCTTTGTGGAAGATCAGTTGACTGACTGCAAATGCAATGACTTATTTTCTGAGTTCTCTATTCAGTTCTATCAGTCTATATGTGTGTATTTATGTTTGAATCACCCTGTTTTGATTTCCATTGCTTTGTAGTATATTTTGAAATTAGGTGATGTGATGCCTCAAATTAGGTCTCCCATTTGACCTCACAATGTCACTACTAGACAGAAGAAAAAGAAAACATTTATTATAAAGACATTTGCACTAATTGTTTACTGCACTCAACGTATAATCTCCAAGATGTAGAAACAATCTAAATGCCCAACAACTCAGGAATGGATTAACAAACTGTGGTATATGTATACTGTGGAATACTATTCAGCCATAAAAAAGATAGTGACTCTTTTGTATTAACCTGGATGGAGTTAAAACACATTCTTCTTAGTAAAATATCACAATAATCAAAAAGCAAATATCCAATGTACTCAATACTAGTACAAAGCCAGTAGGTAATCTAATTCATGCCAGCAGAGGAGAAAAACTCATTTCAATTCAAGCTGGGGAGAGGGGTAATAAGAGAGGAGGAGACAGGAGAATGAGAAGGGGTTTGAGTTGCTCCCACTTAATGGGCATAATGTACAGATATACGGCATACTTTTTGGTTTGGGATACAACTACAAGAGGGACTCTACCTAACAAATTCAAATATTGTGACCTGTTTATTTGTAGCCTTTCATTAACCAGAAACAATTTTTTTTCTCATTTATTTTGTGTCTCTTAATTTTTTACATCAATGTTTTATAGTTTTCAGGGTATAGGTCTTTCACTTCTCTGGTTAAATGCCTAAGTATTTTTTATGTTATTTTAAATGGAATTGTTTTGTCATTTTTTTGGATAGTTACTTGTTATTGCATAGATATGCAACTAATTTTTGTGTGTTGATTTTGATCTTGCAACTTTACTGATTTTGATTAATTTTTCACAGTTTTTGATGGAGTCTATACCATGTGAAAAAAGAGAAATTTTCTTTACTCTTTTTGCTTTGAATTATTCCCTTCCTTCCTTCCTTCCTTCTTTCCTTCCTTCCTTCCTTCCTTTCTTTCTTTTCTTTCTTTCTCTTTAAATCAACTGCTCTGAATAGGACATTCAATACCATGTTGAATAGAAGTGGTGAGAGTGAGCATCCTTGACATATTCTTTTTTTTTAATTTGAGACAGAGTCTCATTTTGTTGCCCTTGGTAAAGTGTGATGGCGTTACAGCACATAGCAACCTCAAACTTCAAACTCTTGGCTTAAGCGATTCTCTTGCTTCAGCCTCCCTTGTAGCTGGTGCCCACCACAATGCCTGGCTATTTTAGAGATGAGTTCTCAGTCTGGCTTAGGCTGGTCTTGAACCCACAAGCTCTGGCAATCCACCCACCTCGGCCTTCCAAGTGATAGGATTATAGGTATGAACCATCACACTCCCTCCCCCTGACATGTTTTTGATCTTAAAGGAAAAGCTTCTACCTTTCATTGTTGAGTCTCATGTTAGCTGTGGACTTGTCATATGTGATCTTTTTATTTTGAGGGACATTCTTTCTATACTTAATTTTTGAGAATATTTATCATAGAGGGTTACTAAATTTTTTCAAATGTTTCAAATGTTTTCTTTTTTGTGTGTGTCTACTAAGAATATCATATCTTCTTTGTTCTTCATTTTGTTAATATGGTATATCACACTTTTTTATGTTGAAACATTCTCACTTCTTATTTTCAGGGGAAAATCCCACTTATTTATGGTGTTTGATTTTTTTTTTTAAATGTGCTAAGTTCAGTTTGCTGAATATTTTGTTGTGGATTTTTGCATGTATGTGTAATAGAGATATTGTCCTATAATTTTCCCCCTTTCATTTTTAATTTCAAAATATTAATGAGGTGCAAATGTTTTTGTCACATGGATAACTTTTATTATGCTTTAGTCAGAGCTATAAATGTGCCCATCACTCAAATGGCATTCACTTGTACCTGCTAGGTAGGTTTTTACCCTTCTTCTCTTTCCCCCACCCCTTATGGATTTCTTTTTTTTAATAAAAAGTGATCTCTAAGTGATCTTAAGATCACTAATGAAGTCCAATTCCAAGAAGCTTAATTTTAGGCTAAATTTTGTTATCTTCAAAAGTATAATAACTAACAAAGGACATACTTATTCAATTATTGTGCTGTGTGATACTGTCTATCTTATATAATAATAGCCTCAGAAGGTTTACATATAAAACTGTACTATAGTATTTACCATAAAACTGAAGACAATTTCTTAAGACACACAATTAATATATATTATTTTATCATTTTAACTAATTTCTATTTTCTATTAGAGATTAGGAATGAACACACATATTTCTTACAAAATATTTGTAACAATTTTTAAGTAAAATACTCCTTACATGTCAAAAAAAAATTTGGAAATTATATTTTCTCTTAAAATTGCTTACTAAATCCTTTATGTCTAGTTTATAAGGCATAGTCTAGAATACCTCTCAGATCCCTTCCCAAGATTGTATACTTCCAAAAAAGAAAGCAGATTTCATTCATTACCAACCCAACTCTGCCCTATTAGGAAGCAAATGAGTAGACACTTCTGGATTACTTTACCCATAACGAATGCACAGAATATTGCCGGTTCCTCCCAGAGGGTCACAAAGATAGGAGATAGCTCTGAAAAGAAAAGTGCTAGTCCCTGGGGGTTAGAATCCTTATACCTGTCAGAAAGTTAAACACATCTCAGCTGAAGGCAGCTTTTCACTTAGACTTTCAAAAATGAAGATTCTTTTGATGGATTAAAAAACCACATCATTTAAGATAGATGCAAAGGTAGTTTGCTACATATATACACAAACGCATACATGCACATACACATATTTCAAGATGTGTACAAATAAAGGATATATATATATATGTATAGGTTGCTTTAGCAAAAATAGAGGAATATCTACTTATAAAATTGTATCTTCCCACATTGTCATGTTATTTCAACTATATTTGTCTAAATGCAAGATTCCCAAATTCACTTTTGACTGAGGGCTCTACTATTACTGTGAGAAATATAAAAATACTTAGCTATATCTGCCTAACTAGGGTAAGTTGCAAGATCTTAAATAATATTGATGATTTTATTATATAATGAGTTGATTAGTGTGCAGTATCATATCTTTTTAAAATTATGCCATGATTCAAATAGTTCAGGCTAAACTGGAAAATCACCCAGGGCTAGTTTCTATTTGTCCTTTGGAAAGGACATGAAGACACATTTTTATTTTTGTGGTTTCCTATAGTTTAGCAATACTACCTATCATTTTAATTTGCAGAATGGAGGGTGGGAGTGGGGCTAATTGAGGCATTCCATAAAGAAGGAACCTCAATGATATACTCACCCTCCCAAGATTCAAAGTTAGAACAATGTACTTGGTTATGTAGATGGCCCTGGCTAACATCCATTGGCAGGAAGGAACACTAAGAGTTAAAATGTGCTCTCCACAAGAAAGCTGATGAATCAAGTTCAACACAGAGCCATATGCATTCATGGGCAATGGTGAATTCCAACACAGGATCTGCTCTGCAGGTAGGTGCACCCTGGTGTGATTTATTCATTGGGGAAAAATGAATGTTATGAACGAAGAGAATTATATCATTTGAGCTCATGGTTGTAGCACATTTGCAATTGCAGACATGAGGTCTCAGCAAGTACCTTGCTACCATTGTGAGACCACAAGTAAATTGCCCCTGCAGTGTCCCCTTCTCTTTTTATTTATTTACTTATTCATTTATTTATTTATTTTTGAGACAGAGTCTCACTTTATCACCCTTGGTGATATGCCGTGCCTCATAGCTCACAGTGACCTCAAACTTTTGGGCTCAAATGATTCTCTTGCTTCAGCCTCCCGAGTAGCTGGAACTACATGTGCTCACCATAACACCTGGCTAGTTTTTAGAGATGGGGTCTTGCTCTTGCTCAGGCTGGTCTCCAACTCCTGAGTTCAAGCAATCCACCTGCCTAGGCCTCCAAGAGTGCTAAGATTACGGGCATGATCCACCATGCCCGGCCTCTGTTCTCTTTATTTTTTAAAGGAGATTATTGTTCAAGTAGGGTAGACATTTCTCTTAAAAGATAGATATGTGGGGGTTAATTGGTGATACAGATTCAGTGCTTAGCAGTGTCTAACACTTATATGCTCTCTATGCAATTACTAAAAATAAGTTACTGGTTATTACTGGTTATCTTGGGTATGAGCACAGCTCTAAGTGAATTTAGACAGTAGCTTGTAGTGCCTAACGTTCTATAGTTCCCCCCAAATTTTAAAAACAGCATGTCATTTAATTACTCTCCCCACTTCAGCATTCTAATTTGTAATACTGGAGATACAATAGCACCTTCACACATTTGTGATTATGAAAGACACTGATGACTTTGTAAGCACCACATAAACTTCAATGAATTGTGTATATAGTAAGTATTACCCTTATCATGATTAGGAGCTGAGATCCATGGAGGCACATACATGGCAGAAGTAAAGTCTTGGTGGCTTTATCCCAAACAAATTAAATGGACATTCTGAAGATCCCAATATGCAGACAAGAACCAATGAAATTAAGTGACAGAGAAGGAATGGTGATGTTTTTCAAATAGATCTAGGCAGCCAGGCACAGTGGCTCACACCTGTAATCCTAGCACCCTGGGAGGCCAAAGCAGGAGGATCCTTTGAGCTCAGGAGTTTGAGACCAGCCTCAGCAAGAGAGAGACCCTATCTCTACTAAAAATAGAAAAATTAGTTAAGCATTGTGATGGTGCCTGTAGTCCCAGCTAGTCGGGAGGCTGAGGCAGGAGGATTGGTTGAGCCCAGAAGTTTGAGGTGGTTGTGACCCCATGGTACTCTAGCCCAGGCAACAGAGACACAAATAAATAACAAATGAATAGCTTTAGGTGATTGTATCTAAGTATAATTAGATATAATTTGTATTTACTAAGCACTAAAATGAATTAAATGCATTTATTAATCACATGTGATAAGCCTGACACAAACTAAGCCTTACAAGAACAGAGGCTGGTCTGTCTTTGGTACCATTTTATCCCAGTGTCTAGCTTTGAGAAAATGAACAATATAGGGTTTGCTATGTTGAGGGATACACCAAAATGACAGAGATGGTCCCTACAGTAGTCTCCCTTCCTCTCTTCCTTTATGGAGAAGGCATTGCACGGTAGACACTCTGTTAGACACTGCAGGAAAAGGAAAATTCAAAACAGACCATTTCATTGACAAGCTAACAGACCAGAGTGTGGTTTATATCTAGGAAGATAAGATGATTATAATACAATTTGACAAATGATATAACAAAGCATAAACAGTGCTATTAGAGACTCAAGGACAGAGCACTACACTTTGCCTAAATTAGAGTAGCAAATTCTCTAAAAATAACCTCTGAAGAGTAACATAAGGCTGTGTGTCCATAAGTGATAGAATAGATAACTGTAAGAACGCAGAATTAGAAGACTATTTTTCATCACATATCTAAGAATATATTGCACAATATCCTTAGCTAACAAGAAAAATCATTTCATACCTGGCCTATGCAGCAATGAGAAAATAAATATGAAATCTCTTTGAGGAAATCCTTTGTAGTCAGGCACTTGGTGCCAGGTTGGTGCCCAACTGAATCCCAAATTAGAAAGTGCAAAGCTCTTTCATCATAACAATAGTTTTGAGCATTCACATATTATTAATGCATATGCAGTTTTAAATCTTAGACAATATTTTTCTATGCCAAGAAAATGGAGGAACACTTTGTGCCCCTTAAACCATAAATTCAGCTTTCCTTGCTATTCCTGCTGGGAACTACTGGAGTCTTTCAGCCAGTGTAGGAGATGTTTTCTCCTCTTCCACACGTGAGACAACTGCAAACTTCAGCTCCTGGCTCTCAGTCTTCAGCTCCATTTCTACTCCCATTTTTGCTCTTATTGATTTCAGTATCCCTTCTTCTTGAATTCCTCTTCTCCAAATTCCTGGTCCTCTCACTTTTCACTCCCTCTTTCACATCCTAAATTGTATGTTACCGCCAGAACATTGACACAACCGTCTCTGCATTTTGGACATCCCATTTGTTGAACATGTGCTTCCCCGTTCCCACAATTCAACATACCCTCTGCGCATGTAACCCAGCAGCAAGTCCAGTTGCTGCTATGTGAAACACACTCATATCACTCATCTCATATCCACTTTTCTCTCTCTCTTCTTATATTTAAACTATCATTAATTATTTAGATGCTAATAAACTTATAATGATAGCTGAAAAAGTCAGTAACAATTCCAACAAAAATATTAGCACAGTTAAGAAGATGTGATAAATTTCTTATTAAAGAAAAATTAGAGTAAATGTAAGATTTATTTACTTTAAAAAGGGGAGCAAAGCTTAAAAGAAAATGCAAAGAAGGCTTAAAGCACCTTATTTACAGAGTGAAAGGCAATAATCTGTATGAACCAACACAAGGTCCACATTGTACTGACATTGCTCTCTTCATGATCACATATGACCTAATTTATGTTACAGAAACAAGTTTAGAGTAAATGAAACTTATCTATAAACTCTCTAAAAGCCAATATTCTATGAAGGTAAATTTTATATTTGTCAAGAAATTTCAAAATCATTTGGTTCCTTAATTAATATGAATGAATTTATATACAAAGAAGAGTCAGATAATTTGCATTTTAGTATTATTGTGCCATGTAAGAACCATGTGATCTTTAGCTAACTGCTTATTTAGTCAATAACTTCTTTTTAACAAAAGAAAAAATAATTGCACCTGAATTTCTCTCATCATAGAATTGACGTGATGATCAAATGAGATGTAGTGAGTATGAAGAATTGTAATGAACATAACAAGAATAAAAGTACTTTGAACAGTAAAAATACCAGATAGATATAAAATGTGTAGATTATTAAGAAGAAAATCACATCACTGGCAACTGTACAGCCTTCAGTATGCTCCTCTATGAAACTTTGCATTTAAACAGAGCCATTATCCAAATTCCCAAGGGATGAAGACCTATCTTTTCATAAAACCAAAGCTTATCACAAGAGGGCAAAGGGAAAAATCCTGCAACTCAACAATTATAAACATGTTGTGAATCATCTTGAAAAGTGAGATACATTTCTATTGCCAGTAACAGTGACATGCTGCATAAAAGCTCTCTCCATGACTAAGAAGTACAAATTTGGTAATAATTTTATACAGTCATTTCCTCTTTTGCAAGGAACTGAGGCAGTATTATAAGTAGTCACAATGCAAATCACTCTTTCAAACTAAAGTCCAAACATAAGCATACTTATATCTATACCAATATCATCTCATACGTCTATATTTTTAATTTTGAAAGGACAATGCAGAAGAGAAGGCTGAGATTCAATATATTAAGGGAGGATTTGGGCATGTTGGTAAGGTTCATGCCAATGAATACATAGTTCAAAACTGAATATAGAGCAACAGAGAAAGTTCCTTAGATTCTATCAATCTCACAGGCAAGCACTGAAAAAAAATGACTGGAGGTGATGGATTTTAAAATGGACTCAATTACCGAGTGATTTGATGGCCTTGAAATAAAAATCAGAGGGATGGATGAAAGAATA